CGGGTCGCGAGACAAATAAACAAGGCAATATACGCTTTTCGAGATTTAAATCCTCGACCTGCGGTAGATCGGACAAGAACAGGACCAGCATAGTCAATTCCGCAATGTTGAAAGGCGCGTTCGGCGCGGTTAACACGTGGCGAAGGCAAAGATTCCATTAATTCGTTTGCAGGAGCTGCTCTTTCGCGAGCATACATTATACATCGGTACAATACAGAACGAATGAGCGGTCGAGCACGACAAAGCCAAAATTCTTGACGGAGTGTGGAGAGGGTGAGCTGTAGTCCACCATGGAGTGTGCGGAGGTGAACGGAGAGGATAATCAGCTTTACTAAAGGATGAGAGGCAATAACAATAGGATGTTTCGCGTTCTCTGATAACGCCGACTTCTGTAATCGTCCGCCGACTCGAATTAATCCAACGGTGTCAATATAAACATTCAACGAGCGAAGCACACTGCTCTTCGAAAATGGTTGAGAGGTTTGGAAACAATGCATCTCGTTCGGAAACACATGGTTTTGGATATATATTAGCCAAAAGGTACGAGCTCGATTTATTTCTTCTGGATGCAGTGCTTGTGTCATGGGAAGGTTTGAATGGTTTTGATGACTGGACTTCATTCGAAGTTTGGAAATAAAGCGCAGAATGTACGCGGTAACTCGTAGCAATTTATTCCAACGAGAATATCGCTCAGCAAGATCCCAGTGGCGAGGAGGGTTTACTGAATGCACGGGAGCTGAAGTACGAGCTTCGAGGTTGACGGACTCGTCTGGTAAAACTGTCTGTGGCCAACAGGTCGGATCGAGATTGAGCCAGGACGGACCGTGCCACCAAATCGAATGATGGCATAATTGATCCGCTTTCATTCCGCGAGAAGCACAATGCGCAGGATTATCTGCGTTAGGCACGTGATGCCACTCTACTGTTGGAAGGTTAGTCTGAATTTCAGCAACACGGTTAGCAATAAATGTCTTCCAGCGCGATGGGTGTTGTGCAATCCAAGCAAGGACAATTGTTGAGTCTGTCCAAGCATGAAGTGAATGAGTTTTAATTTCGAGAGATGTTTGTACGAACTTCACGAGACGAGAGAGTAAAAGTGCAGCGCAAAG